TAGAGCTAAGAGCCCCGGGGCTTTTCTCCAAGACTCATTAAGGAATTGATGCTTCACATGCCATCAGTCATTCTGGCCTTTACAGGAGAGATTTCTCTTTTCTGCAGAGAGGGATAGAGAGTGATTTGTGGACAGTTAATAAAAGAAAGTGATGAAATAATTAACTATACTGTTGCTCTACGGTCTCATTCTTGTGAACTAAGAGAAGTGGAGCATCCAGGGACAGAAAGCTCAGGTAAAATTCTTAAGTTCTCCAGCTCAACCCCCGGATTTTATCTTTGCTTCTTAATGGAGGAGTCCTCAAGGCACAGAACAGCCAGGGGCTCTTGGAAGGAGGTGGACAAACAGGTCCCACCCAAACTAATGCTGCAAAACATCTAAAATCTTATCACGTTTCATGTTTGGTCACTTGTTCTGGTGGCTGGCCAGACCTGAGTTCATTTTGTTTAATCTCCAGCTCCTCTGGAAAGGCTTTTTGGGAGGGGGCAGGAAACCTTACGGAGCCAGTGACGCCCTCAGAGCTGTTAAATCCTGGTGTCCCTGTGCTGTCCCTTTGCAGCCTGGGGAGAGCAGGGCCAGGCTCACTCTGAGCATTTGTGCCTGCTCTTACCTGATTTCCTGAGAACAGCTGAGACAGGGCAAAACTGAGTTAAACAGAGTTTCATGGACACAAACTCTGGCTGTGAGTAACCTCAGCCTGTCTGCAAGAGGAGAACAACTTTATTTGGAAATTCGAGTTGAAAGGAGATTTAGTCGTTCTGCTTGATTGGACTGAGATTTAGGCATAATGAGGGCAAAAATTGTGCCAGTTTTGCTGTCTTTTTCAGTGCTGAGCTGGAAACTGCTTTCCTGTTTCAGCAGAGAGCTTGGTATTGGCGAGGAGAGAGCAGAGGCTGAGCTATCCGTGCTTGGATCCCTGGAATAAAACTCCAGGGCTGCAAAAGAAAGGGGCCTATGATTTCATTCTTTTCACTGGCCTAAGCTTTTTATTTTAGGTAGTTTTTGCTGTGCCTTGTCTGGCAGCCTCTTGCATTGTAGTGGATGCGTTTTGGTTTCAGAATTGACCCTTTCAGTCTTTTTTGGGGGGTGCTCCTAATCATACCACATCTGACCCTGACCTAGGTGAAATCCCACCTCTTCTTTTATCCCAAATTCTGCAAGCCAGCTGCTGATATTACTGGTTGAAAAGTTCAAAAGATACCATGAGAAAGCTTGAATTATTGATGCTGCTCTCCTTCCATATATGTGTAATTATCTGCTCCTGGGGCACAGCCCAGTCAGAATCCCTGCTAGACTCCACAGCTGGGCAGGCTTGCAAGAACTCTGGAACAGACCCTGGGCTGCATGGAAACAAGGCATGGGAGAGGGAATATGCTGCCATTGCATGGATGTGACCTGTGATCCAGGTAAGGGGTAGCTAGCTGGAATCAGTGTAGGTATGTTACAAAAAATTACTGAGCAGAGTGATAAAAGAAGGGGTTGGAGCAATTTGTACAGTGAATGAAAATAGAAACTTAAGAATTAAGTTCCAGGCAGGTCCCTTTAATATTAATGATTGTACTTTCCTCTGTATGAGTTGGGAGAATCCAGGGAAGACAGACAATTCCTTATTGGTCTTAAAATAGCAGCGTGCTCTCCTTTTTATCTGTAGGTTCATGCTGTGATTCTTGACAGCACTGAGGATCTCCTTTCTCTGATTTCTCTCATTTCTTCTAAAAAGGGAGAATGCCATCGAATTGTTCTTTTTCCTGTAGTGATTTAGGTGAAGTTGGTGTGGTGAGGGGAGCTGAAAAACTGATGAGCATCATCTTTCACCTGCTGCAGAGTGTCCAGCAGGCAGATGGTCCAGGGCAGTTAATCAGAGCAGGTCTGATGTCAAAGGAGCTGTTTATATAAGCAGTGATTCAGCTTCCCATTCCCAGTAATAACAGTGGTGTTACAAACCAATCTGCTCTAAAGCCCTGTCTCTGAAGAATTGTCAACTCCAGTTTTTCACTTTCTAACCCAGATTCACTCTGGGGTCCTGACTTTACAATGAGTCAAGCCAAACTCCTGTGTCTAAGCTCCCTACAAATTTGGGCAGTGTTCCTGACCTTCCACCTCATCCAAGAATTTCAGCATTTTTGTTTTGTGGAAGGCTTTAGACACATGACTAACTAGGGACAGCACATAAAAGCAGACCTTTATTTATTATTTTCTCCTGCATTTGGCACTGTAGAGAAGCTGAATCAACTTTAAGCCCCCAGGAGGACAGAATATTAACAACTATTCTGTACTGAGGATTTAGGGTCTAATTCAGCTGCCATTAATCTCGGTAACAAAAGTCTTGTTGCAGGATTTAGAGATCTAGGCCAGGAGTATTGGGGTTTTAAGTGGGGAGGGGGGCTGAAATGAGGTGACCAGACACCTGTGTATGACAGTCCTGTTCAGAGAGAGGGAGGGAAGAGGACTGGTGTTCAGAGATGAACTCTGCACTGGGCAGTGTCCAGGAGAGTTTGAACAGGGTCAGCTCTAGATCAGAACAAAAAAAGCAAGTTTAGAGGGAACCCTAAGGACACATTGTTGGGTATGTAACTGCTGTCAGGGCAGCAGCTTTTTGGTTTGGTATCAGAGTTGCAGCTGGAGGAAAGGGAGATGCTGTTTTTCCCCATTGCAGATTGTTCTGTGGTGCAGAACAGCACAAAATAGGTGGTACAGAAAAGGAACCAACATTTGCAATAAACCCCTGTGCTTTACACACACCAAATGTGCTTTTCTTAGAGCATCATCCTTCCCTAGCTGTGGAAATCTCAAATGTGGTTTTGCTGCCCTCCTTGGAGTGACTGAGGTGAGACAAACTTTTTGATTCACTGAGTGGTTTCTTACAGAGTTGCTCCCAGAGTACTGGAATGTACTTTTTAATGGCCTTTTTTTCAAAATTTACTTTAATAACTTGTAAACACGCTTGGACAATTTTCAGTCTGCAGCCAGGTCATAAGATATTATGGAGAGTGGCTGGATTTCCATCTTTGCTGAGGTACTAAGTGCTAAAAATTCTCATTCCTTGTCAGACTTTATAGCAGCTGTAAAGGTTTAAAGCTTTTAAAGCTTGCTGAATTACAATCTTGACTGTGTTTTTCCCCATCCCCTTCCCTGGGGCAGGGAGATGTCTGTGGATGGAAGTTCCGGGAAGCCTCGGCCAAAACCCTTTTGGGCTTGTAGCTTGTGTACAGACATTGCACCCACAGCCACTGGGGTGCAGGATCAGAGTGTCAGGCAGGTAAATATATTGCCAGCATCCCATAATAGTCTAACAAGTGACTGGAGGTTTCCAGATGCTGGATTTCAGCCTTTAAATAAGTTAATGCTTGGTGAAGTTGGGAGAAATCAGTAACAAAATCTTGACTGCTCCATCCTCTGTTACCCACTGGCAGAATTTGTAAATTTGTGATGGCTGGGAGTTTCTCTTCTGACTGTGGAGAATCCACAGAATTGGCTGAAGAACAAAAAGAAAGAAAAAGGAGAAAATGGAGAGAAAACTTTAACAGAGAAAGAGATGAGAGGACAAAATATATAATGGAATTTCCCTGTCCGGAGTGCTGGTTTGTTCCCTGCCCATCACTGGGTAATGCAATTTCCAAGTTAGTCCCAAACAGCCCCAACAAGAGCCTTTTTATCTGTTTTCTTTGGGAAGATATTGCAGACTGATGGGTTTCCTTGCTGTAAGATTTTTCCCTTAGTCTCATTCTCCTCATCCACTCACCTCCAAGTTTTCCTTTCTCTGATCCATCATTTCCTTCCAGTTGTGCTCTTACTCTTTTGTGGTTTGGAGCTTTTCCATGCAGTGTTTGGTGTTGGGGACCCAAACCCAGGCTCTGCCAGCAGCACTTCATTCACTCCCAGGGGCCCCAGTGGGATGCCTGAAGCAGAAAGGGTTGGCTCATAAAATAAAGAGTCTGGAGAGCTGGAAAGGGTAGAAGTGATATTTTGCATCAGCCTGAAAGATCAGGACCAATCCTTTGGGCACTTTTACATCTTTTATTCCATGTATATGATTAGAGGAAAGATAAAGAGGTGAAGAGCTGGGATACTGACCATTTCCCACACTGCCAGGGAATGCCAGAGCACTCAGGGGCAGTCGAGTGGAGATGTGATGACACACTGGAGCAGTGTTTGCTTCTGATGTTTATTTCACATACACTCTTCTTCAGCACAAAGAAGGATAGTGGAAAAGCAGAAACTGAAATAAAAGAATCATTCTATTTTGAGCTACAGTGTGTCCAAAGCTTTGTCAGCTGTAGAAAATCAGGGGCACGTGGCCTAATGATGGGATTCCTGTGCAGGCCCAGGAGTCAGACTTGGATGATCCTGGTGGGTCCCTTCCAGGTAATCATATTCTATGATGGTATGATTCTAATAAAAGAAGAAAATCAGGGTGATTTGTGACAAACTGAGCCAGAGATGAACCTGGAACAGGGCAGTCAGTTTGGCACTGCACATGCAAGGCTCTGCAAACATTTATTTGGCTCCACAGAAACAAGGCAAATTAGTGCTCAGGAGCATCTGGCTTCCCTTTGTAGCTTATTTCACAGCAAAATGCACAATGTTTCCTTTCATAGGTGAGTCAAGATGAGCCCTCACATATTCCTGAACACTGAGGAAATGCCTCCTTCCCGATCCAAGACTCAGCAGAAAAAGGCTGGGAAAGAGAAGGTGTTCAATTGTGAAAAACATTCTTCAGGAGACTCAAAGATGTGCTGTGGGAAGAGGAGGGAAGGTAAGAGCAGAGACCAAGGGAAGGGCAAAGAGTCACTTCCTGGGCAAGGTGACAGCCTTGGAGAAGATACTTAAAAATCCAGAGGCTGGGGAGGCCTCAGGAATGCAAAGAGAATGACCACAAGAAGTTATTCCGGAGAAAAAGAGCCTGCAGGAGAAATTATAAAAGTGAATCTGGTCTGGGGAGAAAACATAGAGAGTCCAGGTTGGAGGGGAAAAAAGGAAAAGCCTGCAAGCAATGGGAAATGACATCAGGGCAGGAGAGTGAGGATAGCAGTGACAAGGAAGGAAAAGCCACCACAAACAGGAAGAAATGGAGTTTTAAAAAGAGATGTGGAAAGAGACTCTCCCATGGTGAGAGGAACTACCCCGTGTTTTACGAGCTGCTGGCAGGGCTGCCCGCGGAGCAGAAAGAGGAGATGCTTGCAGGAGGCAGAGTGCTGCTGTTACCTGGGCCAGGTGAGTGAGCCGAGGGTGCTCTGCAGCAGCTGCCACAGAGAAATGGACCAGGCATCCCTTCTGTGTGGTTAGAGAGGCACCAAAGCACTTTTCTCCCCTGCAAAGGGTTCTCAGGACTCTGCTAAAGTCAGCTCTGCTCCTTCTCATATCTGATTTAAGAGTCAACATCTTTGTCTCTTTGGTGATAATTTTCTCACTTTTCAGGCCCCTTCTGCTCTGAGAGACTCTAACGAGGAGTCGTTGTGTAAACTTATGGCTCCATCGTGTGGTGTAAAACCTCTTTTCTCATTGCCTTTCCTTGCATTTGCAATTTACTGTGGGACTGCAAAAAGCAGGGAGTATTTCTTTCTATCTTCTGCAAAACAGTTCCTTTACTGTCAATGAGTGCAGATTTTAAACCACTGAAATATACTGCTGATTGCAATTATTTAAATTGTATTTGTTTGTCAGACTTACATCAAGTCACAATCTTGGAACACTTTTTTTTTTTTTCCTGGTCGGTGTGCCTTTTGTTTTGTTTGAGTTTTTTAAAGATTGTTTTCCATAATCAAGCAGGTCACAACAATAGCAATAAATTTTTCCTATTTCGGCGAGAGTCAGCTTTCCCAGGTGGCAAATTCAAATTCTTTACAGCAGCTGCGGTCAGGAGGAATCCTCGATAGTGATTGCTATCACCTCGCCTTCAGGCGAGGAATGGACAAGCACCATTAATGGCTCTAGGATGGAGGGCAATTAAGGGCCCAGCCCTTAATGGGTGATTAATGTTACCTGGCTGGCAAAGCATTGTAAAGCAGAGTCTTCAAGGAGATAATTAACAGGAATAACCCAGCCTGCTGCAGAGAAGGAAAGGGAAAAATACCAGATTATGCACAGAAGGGTTCGCAGAGACTGACAAAATCTATCTTGGATCTTGGCAAGAAGAAGCCCAAGGGCTGCCTGGACCTCACCCTTGCCTCCCAGACCCAAGGTGCCACCATCAGCAGCTGTGGCTGCTTTGACAGTGCCAAGTGCCTCCTGCAGACTGACATCAGGAACCTGCCCTGGTGAGTTTTGTTTGCCAGGGAAAAGGGCCGGCGTTTGTGTTCAGGTGTGCATGGTTGGAACGTAGGAAAATAGCGATAGTGATGAAGGTAGCCTCACCCCTAAGGAGTTACATCTGTGGGAATTATCAAGAATTAAGAACAGGCCAGTCCTTAATAGGCCACAGCTAGATCCCATTAGGATGGCTAATGTAAAAAAGTCGGTTGGATGCTTGAGAAGTTAGATGGAGTTTGTTGGCTGTGCTGAGAAGAAGAAGGAGTCAGTGCTGCGAGGGGCTGCCCCTGAGAAGTCCCAAAGAAGGTAGGAAACCTTTGCAATAAGATCTCAACGCTGATGACTTTTGTTTCCCAGGGAAAAGGGCCGGTGTTGGTGTCCAGTGGCCGGAGTGGCCAGCTGCCCGCTGGAATTCCGAGCGTCTTTTTAAGGAGCCAAAATGAGCCTGGTGTTCTGCCCAGGCTGTGACCAGCTCTGCGCAGCTGAGGTGCTGTTGAGAATATTTATACAAAAGGGACCTTGTATCCCATCCATTGTTCTTATCTATAATATACAGTAATATAGATAGTAATATATGTGCAGTAATATATGTGAAAAACACGTTCACTCTCCTGTGAAAATTAAAAAAGTTTAATAAAGGATAATAAGAGACAAGGACCACAGAGCAAAGGTCGTTGAGGCTGTGTGCATCTTGGTACTCAGCCAAGAGCACACTTATCTTCAGAGATACCCCTTAGATACCTTTTCCCTTACATCAGCCTGTTGCATATTCACAGACCCTTATGCATACCAAACTTTTTCCCAAACTAGTTTATGTATTCCTACATGGCCCCTCCTTGGGTTTGCCATTTTAGAGCATGTGTAATCCTTGGTTGGGGTTTTAGTCCACTTCTACCATCATCTTCAGTTTTGGCCCCGGCCCACACTGCCTTCAGATGGTGAGTGCTGCTGGTTGGCAGATCTGAACAGGTGCCCTCATCCTGTGTTCATTGGATGTTATCCCATCCAAGCGGGCATTTTAGCACAAGCAGCTGTTTCACCAAGCTTAATTAACAACAGAAATAAAAACTATATCTTTATAACAAAGTTACTTTAACGCTGCACATAAAAAATCCATTTTAATATTTGTGAAAAGCCAATATTATGTATCTATAACATATATAATAAAGAAAATTTTGTTATTTAGAAAGAATCCTTTGAACACGCAGCCAGGCTACTGTAGCATGGCCAAGTCCTTTGTATACCCAGTGTTCCTGGGCATCTACTTTTGCTGCCTGCTAACCTCTTAATTAACAACAGAAATAAAAACTATATCTTTATAACAAAGTTACTTTAACGCTGCACATAAAAAATCCATTTTAATATTTGTGAAAAGCCAATATTATGTATCTATAACATATATAATAAAGAAAATTTTGTTATTTAGAAAGAATCCTTTGAACACGCAGCCATTGCCAGTGAGGCTGAGATTCAGATTGTGGCCAGTCTGTTGTGTGTCTCAGCAGAGCTCCTGCAGAGTGCTGTCACACACCACGTCACTGTGAGTCCCTTTCTGGTGATGTCTCATTCCTCCTGAAGCATGCAACGTCCTGCCCCACTGTCCTAAACTTAGAAGGCTCAAAATCTGGGAGGTAAAAGCAGGAATAAAATGGTTGGGGTGGGCTGAGCCCCTCAGGGCAGCTCTGTAAAGATGGCAGAGCTCACATCTAGGAGGACTCTTTTCTGACACGAGTGGCTTCAGGTTTGTCACTTTGGCCAGGTGACTCTCAGCTCTGGCAGTAAAATTCTGGGTTTAGTTTTCCTTTTGATATCTGGGTAAATTCTCAGCCAAATAGAAAAAAATATCCATTTATTATCTTGGTTGACTTCCTTGTGGATTAAAAATTTTTTTAAAAAGGTGGTTTTGAGAGATAATAAGAGTAAATTCTGTCTCTCTCTGTATCCAGGTTACATCTTATGATCGGATCTTCACCCCTCTGTCTGTCGAAGGAGCCATTGATGCCAGGTGACTTCTGCTGTTGTCTGGGTGGGTGAGATGCACCCAGAGGTGCTGTCTTTGCAGTAACTGGTTCTTGTCCCCCCTGCCACTCAGGGACTCCATTGCCAAGGCTCTGTACTACCTGCTCTTTGAGTGGCTGCTGCTGAGGATCAATGAGTGGCTGGCTCCCTGGGAGTCTGACTGTGCCGTGGGCATTGTGGACATCCATGGCTTTGAGGTTGTTTTTCATCTTCTTTTGCTATGGCCTGGGCAGTGAGGGCAAGTGCTCACCAAGGCCTTGCAGTATTTTACTTAGGGCTCCTGTTAGAAACCTGTGTGCCAATGAATGCTGAAAACAATGGAATACAGAGGTGGGGCTGTGCATCCAAGAGTAGATCTTTCCTTCTTTATGCTCCTTCACAGCTTGTCTCACCTCTGGCTGCTCAGCCTAGTCAGTAAGCCAGGCTGAGAGCTTGCAAACCAGACAGAAGATGCTTTGAACTGTTGGGGTTCATCCACACTGGCCAGAACCAGCAACTCAGCTCAGCCTGTGCAGCTTTTACAGGGAGCCACAGCCCCCTGGGCCTTGGAAGGGATGGATTTTTATCTTTGCAGGATCTGGGGGTGAACAGCTTAGAGCAGCTCTGCATCAGCTTTGCCAATGAGCACCTCCAGTGGTTCTTCAGCCAGACTGTCCTTGCCCATTGAGGTAAGTGCAGCTCAGTGGATTCACACCACCTTGAGCCAGCACACATGGACTGAGCTGAGGCATCCTCAGAGTGTCCCCCAGCAGGGAACAGGAAATTGAATGGTCCTCTTAGGCAATATCCATGGAATCCTCGTCCAAAGAGTTGCCATTTAATACCTTTGATTAATTCTACAGTAAATTAAGGGAAGGAGATTTTGTCAGCACCTTGCTCCCTTGTCCAGATTTTGTAAGTGAGTTGGTCAGGGTCAAAGCCCAGACCTCGGTGGGCACTTTTAAAGCCTGTTTGGCTTGTTTGTAGCATTTTCTGTACAACTTATGTCCTGGGGATGAAAGTGTATTTATCAGACTTGTTCTACAGTTCACTTTATCACTCAGCAGCCTTCTTCTCTCAAATCAAGAAAATCATTAGTGGCTTTAGATGAAGTTTCATGAGACAAATCCAGACAATTCTAGGCAAGTTCCTAACAGCTGTGAAACACTAACTTCCTGATAAAAACCAAATCCCTCTGTTAATTCTCTCCATTTGTCCTTGTTTGCTTGGCTGGATTTGGCCTTTAACATGCAGGAGGAATACAGCCAGGAGCAGTTAGTTTGGATTCCTATTTCTAAGATGTGCAGTGAGTCGTGCCTGGATTTCCTTACTGCAAAGCCCCATGGCATCCTGTGCATCCTGGATGACCAGACATCCCTGACTCAGGTGAGGAGCTCTCAGCCTCTCATGGGATCCCTTTCAAAGGGTGAGGCTGTTTTCCAGAATGATTGCACAAGTAATCAATGTTTTTACCTTCAGTTTAAGGGTGACTTCTCACCTTTGCTTCTTGTCTCAAGTACTAAGGAGGCATTTTTAGCACTTCAGATTAACAGGAGACTCCAGCTCCAGGCTACTGTAGCATGGCCAAGTCCTTTGTATACCCAGCATTCCTGGGCTTCTACTTTTGCTGCCTGCTAACCTCCATCACTCCCTGATTGCTTGTCCACGGCAATTCATCCATCTCTGCCGCTTGCACCTGTGCCTCCTGCCCTTCCAGTTTCCTTAGCAAGAACCCTTAAAGGCTACAAAGGGACAAACCAGCAGTTTTTATTATTGATCAGCTCTGGGAGAAGCTGCTGCTTCCCTCGTGGTCAGCAGCTGCTGCCTTTGCCCGGGTGTTTCTGAAGGAGAAGGGCAGGAGAGACGATGGCGGCGGAGGCAGAGCTGGGCCGCGGTCACTCTGCAGAGGAAATTCCGCCGCCTCCGTGTCCTCCAGGAGAAAGTCACGCTCATCCAGGCTCACTTCCGAGCTTACCAGGCAAGGTCAGGAGCCCAGGGACAGCCAAGGGACAGCCCTTTGGCCTTGCCGAGGGACAGCCAGGTGGGGATGTCCAGGCCCCTCCTGACGTTGGCTCCCGGCCTGCTCCGCGTGTGTTTGGTTTGTGTGGCTGATGTGTCCCTCAGCAGACAATTCTGTTCTCATCCTCTAGTGTATTTTATGTGTATTTTATGATTGGCTTTTCGCAAGTATTAAAATGAATATTGTATGTGTTATGTTAGAAAGTTATGCTGTATTAATTTTCTTAAGTATTAAATTAACTATTAAATACTGGTTTAGGTTATAACATAATGTTAAAATAGAAACTATGCTATGTAAGATATTTGGTTAAGAAAGGACTTGCACCAGATAGACGCCACAGGACACCTAAATCTTTCAGAGAAAGGGAATTTATTGCTCCCTTATCAGCAGAAAACTAACTTCTTCCCACCTCGCTCAGACAGGAAGACGGCATGAGGATTAAGAGGAAGAAGTTGACAGTGACCAGACAGAATCCTGTGTTTGAATGGAATTTATGCATCATGTATGAGATGTATGAATATGCAACAGGCGATTGTTTTTAAGGGTTAATCCTCTGTTAAAGGGTGTTCTTTTTCGGGCTCGTGATGCCCAGAAAAAGGTACCCGGACGTCCGTATCTCTTTGTTTTTATTGTCTCATATTGTTCTAACCTCAATTGTTCAAACTTTATTATTCTAATTATATTACTACTATTAAACTTTTAAAATTTGAAAAACAAGTGATTGGCGTTTTTCACATCTAGGAAGCGTTACAGGAGGCTGAAGAAGACTTTGGTGCAATTTAAAACCATGATTGTAATCTCCAGACCTTTGATTCAAAGGAGGAAGCGCTGCCAGGTAACAACAGAGCAAGGTGTACAGGAGGGGCTGTGTCTGCCCTAAGCAGAGCGAGCTGGGGACTGGGTGAGGCCAGGGCAGGGATGCCTTTGGAAGGTTTGCTGGGAGTGAGGTGAGGTGTCCTTCACCCTCTGTCTGACATAAATGGAGTCAAATGAAGGAACCAGAGAGGCTGGAGCCTTCTCTCTCTAAGTGACATGCACAATTGGCACAGGTATTGCAAACACAGCTGATTCATGGGTCTGGCTGTGTGAGCCAGGGTGGGGATGATGCCTTAAGTTTTATGTTTTTCAGATCCTGTACTGCATTAGGGTATAACTCTGAACTCCATATAGAATGTTAGTTAGCTCTCTTCACATTTTGGTCAGAAAAACAATCCTTCCAGGCCTGAGAACCAAGGTCACCATCACAGCTTCAGGCCTGAAAAGTATAAACAAAAGTGAATTGGGGGAAGCAAAGTGACTTCATTACCTGAAGCTGTAATTGGACAATTATCCTCTGATATGTCAATGACCAAACTTACATCTGTCTGAAAAGCTCATGACCATCATCCATCTTGGGTGTAGCCTCTGCCAGGCTCCTGCACTGCCCAAGGTGTATCTGTTGAAGGCCTTTAATAAATGCCTACTTTATTCTCTAACTCTGTCTAGCCTCTGTTCTAGGCAGCCTCTCCAGGCATCACTCCAGGCTGCCCTGTGTGAGATGAGCTAATTCCATCTGTGGTTTTCAGAGCTGCTGCTCTGCTCAAGCTGTAACGAGTCATTCATCTTGCTTTTTTTTGTTGCCCAGTTCCATTACTGATGGTGACTGAATTGCAAGATTCTTTCAGTCCACGATGATCCTCCCCTGATCCCTTACAGCTGCCTCAGGCTGCTCAAGCCCTTGGCCTCTTGGAAATCAGCTGGGGTGGGAGCAGGATGGCAGGTTTTTTGAGAAGATGGAAAATAGTGTACAGGGGAGAGCCATGGTTCTGTCCTATGGGTATAATGCATTCTGCACAAACTATTAAAATAAAATTGGGAAATGAAAATATTGCACCTGAAGGGTAAGGGTCATTTCCTTATTATTAAAGGGCCACTTCCTTGCTATTAAAATAAATCTGGAAAGAGGAAATCAGACCACTCTTCCTTAGAGCAGCAGCAACATCTCATAGCTGTCAGCTTTACAAGGGAAGGACCCAGCACAGCTCCTGGCATGGTGGGGCAGAGGGTTAAGGACAGTGGTGTTGATACAGACCTGCAGAGGTGCCTCCTCTCTTGCCATGTCCAGCACATCATGAGTTTCTATTCTGTTTCTTGCCCTTCCCACTTGGACAAGATCCAGATTTTCTTTCTCCCAGGTAACCACAACAGTGCAGCTCTTTTGAATCTGTTTCTGTTCCTTCAGTGTTTGTTTGCTGAGGTCTCTTTACATGCAGTACCAGCAGCAAAGGTCTCAAAGTTCACCTGCTGCAAAGTTCCTCCTTTCCCCCACCCCACAGCCCTGCCCTTTAGACTTTAGTTTGTCACTGTCTTTCTCAGCCCAGCCCTCATAAGCTCCCATGTAGTCACAGTGCTCTGCACCACTGACAGGCAGGAGAGAGGCAGAGAAGGAGACAGAGACCCTCCTTCCCCATCTCAGGTGAGTGATGAGGATGGGGAGCAATAGAATGGATGGGAAAGGGCAGAGCTGAGAGGGAGTTTAGCTTTTGGTATCCCTCCCTCCTTTCTAAAGGATTTCCTCTCCATGGACAAGTTCATCTGTCCTGTTCAGGCTGTTATCAGGTGCTTTGATGCTGAAGGAGATGGGTGAATATTTCTGGCAGCTGCTGGGTGCCTTTGTCCTGAGCCACATCCAATGCCCAGCAGGGGAAGGTGTGGCAGGATGCTGGGCAGGTGCTGGAGGCTCTTGCTGTTGAATTGTGTCATGAAGGGCAGGAGGTGTTTCAGCAAAGCTCAGGTGTTTGCTTGGGCAGCCCCTTCTCAACACACGGTGTTGGGGTCCCAGGAAGGCTCTGTAGCTGTTCTGTGATTTTATCTGCTGGAGCAGGACACCATCTCCTGGCCACCCTCAGCATCTGCCCCCAGAATAGCTGGAATTTAATTCATACACATCTTCCCAACCTCTATCCCCTTTTCATCTCCTAACAGCAAGGTTTAGAGGAAAGGAAACAAAGAAGGAGGTCCCTGGCCTGTGGTGACACAGAGAATAGTCCCAGCCAAGGAATGGTGAGTTGTCAAATGGTCTGGGGGGGTCTGAGACTAAAAAAAAATCAGGTTCTCCAGGTGTTCTCCCTCCCTTGTGCCTCCTCAGGCCAGGTTTGCTGGGGAACAACAGAACATCTAGAGGGGGCACACGTGTCTGGAACCTGGTACAGAATGCAGGTTAGATGGTGTCAAGGGCCTTCTAATACAGAAATATCTCATTAGTTCAGAGTTTCCATTGCTCTGGGCACTACCAGGCACCATCAACCAGTCCTGAGCCAGAGCACTGTGTTTGCTCACAGCACTGGACCTGGTCTGCAGAGGTGGAAGGAAGATTATTTTTGGTGATCATCTTCTCTTGTGAGGGGTGGGGATGAGACACTTCTGCATAAATGTATTGACAGAAGATGATGTAGAGGAAGGGATGTATTAAAGGCTTCATAACACTTTTAGCTTCTATCAACACTTCTAACTAATGCCTTTATTGATGTGTCTAGACTGGACACACATTTGCTGCAGTGTCTGTATCAAGGGAATGTGAATTGATATTATCCACAATTCTGTATAGATCTGTCAGTAAGAACAATAAAAATTAGCCCTGGGTGTATCACCTGCTTCCTCAGGTGTGGATCCAGAACTGTGGAATTTCACAGTCCACTTCCTGAATGCAGCATTGAAAAGCCAGACTTGAAGTCAAGTATCTCATGAACAAAATCAAACTGATCAAAAATGCTGCAAATCTCTCTTTAAGTTTTATGTGGAGAGAGATGTCAGAATAATGTGCTGGTGACAAGAGGCTTTACTATGCAGATCTTAAAAAATACCCCAAAAAAACAAGAAACCAAAAAAACCCAAAAACTCCTGTTTTGTGACTTTGGCTTGGTTTTATAGTGCCTTAATCTGAGTAGTTCTGTCTGAAATGCCCTGAGCTAACTCTACATGCAGTGATGGTGACACACTGTGTTGTATTGGCCCATCTGCTTCCTACCCTGCAGCAGTGAAAAATCAAGACTCATTGGTCAGATTCTCCTCTGGATTACCCTGGTAGAGCTCTGAGCTTTCTTAGGAACCTCCAGCATATATCAAAGATCAGAAACAGGTCTCATTTTATGCTGCAGCACTTTTGGATACTGAAAAATCAAAAGAAAACTGTCAGGAAAGTGCAAGAGGAAATGGCCCTTACCCTTCAGGTGCAATCTCTACAGTGCAATATGCCACACTTGATAGGAATGAGGGATGAGTCAAAGAAAGCCAGCTTCCCTGTCCTTCCCCTTGTGGCAGTTGATATTTTATTTAGGAATTGCTCCCCTTCCCCTCCTGTGCTGACCCATGTCTCACAGCTGTGCTCATGCAATCCCTCCCTGTCTGCAATGGCTCTGAATGTTGTGGAGGCAGAAGTCACTGCTTTGGCTCAGATGCTCCATCCCTGTCCTGGCAGCTTTTCCAAGGCAGCTTCACCCAGTCTTAGCTCAGGGTTTTATGTGTTTTTTTCTCTGCTGGCAGCCAGTGACTGGTTTGTTTTTCTCTCCAGGACGTGGGGCTGCTGGAGATCCCTGCAGAGCTTGCAGCCCTCCTGCACTCTTTTGAAGGTGAGAAATCCTCCTCCTTCCCTCCCTTTCCTGCACTGTTTCACTGAGTATTTCCTTGTTTATATCAAAGTATGTCTTTGTTCTCCCTGCTGCTTGTCACTGGGCTGGATTTGATTCATTATCATTGCAGTGTAAACATGATCAAATGGTACCATGGATGTTGTTTCCTGACACGGTGGGGAGGAAAAGCAACTTGGGCCAGGGGGGCAGAACAATCAATATCTTTGAAAATCAATATCTTTGTTAATTTTTCAGCTCTTCTTTTGAGCTGGGCTGGTAGAACTGATGGCAGGGATGGTGCAAAACTCTTTGGTCAAAGTTATGTGACAGCAAACTGCTTAATGAACCCAGGTCTCTGGCAGAGATGAATATCTGGGGTGGAAAAACTTAAACCCATCTTTTACCCACTCTAAAATCTTTAAGGAAATTGAAGGGGAAGAAAAGGACAGTTTTGACAATTTCAAATAAATATTTTTAGGTTTCATTAAAAATTATTTCCTCAAAGTGAAGTTTAAAATAGAAGGAAGTAGAAACAGGGGAACAGCTTGATGTGGAACAATGCAATAACTTGAGATATAACAATTTATCAGTCCAAGGATGTAGCAATATAACAAATTGAGTATGTGTTAATTTATCAATTTAGGGATGCACCAATTGGTTTTCAAATCACCAAAATACCACTAAGTGTAATAATTTCACAAGCTGTTGATCTGACCCTGAGGATTGTTTTGTGCAGTTGTGTTTCCTCTGTAGCTCTCTGTACAATGTGAATAGTCAAGCTGCAAATTGGTTGAGGCAGGATTTGCCTCTCTCAGTCTGTGTGGTGTCAAAGCCAAAGCCAGCTGTGCTTGTGGCCTTCTGTGGGGGACAGTGAGGGAGAAAATCAGGCAGAAGAGTCTGGTGAATTGGAGCAGACTGGGCTGGATTCCCAAATAGCTCACATTTCATGGCAGAGCCCTCCAGGGACTATCAGCTGGTCTAGTGAGCAATGTAAGCCAGAGGGGCTCAGGGAACAGTGAAACTGCTGGAAATGAAAGCTGATGGGATGTAAATGGGGAGGATTGGAGAGCATCGGGGATACAGCTGGAGAGAGGAATGCACAGGAGCTGTGCTGCATTGAGAAATCCCTTCATTTAGTGATGTTTGCTCCTCTCTTACCCGTGAGAAATCCCTCATTACAAAGACCTCTCATTTCCTTGTGGACTGGGCTGTTGTCAGCAGTGTCTCTGTATGGGCTCAGCATTTCCTGCCTGCAAAGGCTGCAGAGCAGTCTTGAATCTGCAGGTGTTCCCTGGGGAGAAGAGTCTGAAAGATCAGGCTGTAAAATCCCCCTCCTGAAGGGAGTTCTTGTGGTCTCAGGGAGGCGAGGCTGTGCCTGCTGTGGCTCTGAGGCAGCAGGGCTGGGCTGGGTGTCCCTGGAGCCAGGGCTGGTTCAGGGGCTCGGCAGGGTGAGGTGCAGCTCAGCCAGGAGCTGCTGTGTGACTTGTTTGTGTCCTGCCACCACACCACACCTCCTTCCCTTGCAGGTCGACACCAAGCACAGGCCAACCAGATAACTGAGACACAGCCCCCAGAAGTCAAGGTCAAGGATAACCTTTCCCTCCCACCCACCATCAACAGCCATCCCTTCTCCTCCTTCATCAAATCACACTTCCAGGTGGGAACTCTTTTTATCTCTCTTCACTGCCTCCCCTGTGGGCAAACACACTGGTTTTAGCAACACCAGGAGCAAATATTTCTACCCTTTTTGTTTCTTTGTAGAAGCCAGAATTTGTAGAATTCCCTGTCCCTGGTCAGCCTCTGCAGCACCCCTTAACCCGCCTGGATGCTGCACACCAGGAGAGTGCACTTGAGATAAACAAACTGGTAAGAGACATTGTTCTTGACCTTGCTGAGGAACAGGTGGGCACAGACCATGTTTTGATGCCTTTAAACAACAAGTTGATGGTGGTGTATATTGTTCTTAAAATACATGGAGGGCTGGAAAAGCAGAATAAATTGCTCCTTCTAGGCCCTGGAGCAGCCTGACAGAGATCACACACAGCCCCTTAAGGTTGCTGTGTTTTTGGGGATGCACAGAACAGCCACAGACTACTGGGGTCAAAGTGAATTGCCTGGTGATGGAGCCTCAGAATTTGGCAGGACATATAGGAATAGGACTGCTAAACTTTAATATCCCAATATTCCAGACTCAGTGGCAATGATAAGGTAAGTCTGTCTTCTCAACCACTTGCTCATCTATCAGTCATAAAAAAAGTGTCATTTAATCCAGATCTTTTCCATGATGTGGTTTACAGCAGACATCTCGATTGCACCTCGGGCTCACAGATGTGTCAGTACCCAACAGGACAGTGAACTGTTGTTTAAAGGCTGGAAAAGGGCAGGGACTTTGTCATCAGGAAAAGTACACCTGGAGCCACACCCTCACTCTGTAGTGTTTGTGTGAAGGGGATGGTGCTATTTCATCTCTGTGGATGTGAAACATATATTTCTTCTTTAAAATGGTTGAAAATAGAAAGTATCTGGAGTTTCATTCTAAGTAAATCTGGTCATCTTTTTGGGCATTACATGGAATTAAAATAAGCCCATTAAGAAAGTTAATACCTAAAAACAGTCTCTTGTTTTGTCCTTGTGATCCCAATTATAGAAGAGCATAAGCTTCAACAAAATCTTGTGAATAGGATTGTGTTTAAGCAGAACACTATTATTTTTCTAAAGATCAAAGGCAGTTTTTCTTCCTTGCTAATGAAGGAGGAATTTGCTACAAAGAATTCCATGAGAACTAAACAACGACCATTCCCTGTTTTTCTCAGTGAATCTCTGACACACTTGGTACCATTAAGTGTTTTCAGAAGTATTGTTATGCTTAAATGCTCTTTCCAAAGCTGTCCATTTTAGAAAAAAATAAAATTGTGATATATTGAAGTATAGACGATGAAAGAAATAATTCTGTAGCTAAGGGTGATAAATACAAACTAAAGAAGCATTGAAGATGTTGATATGCATAGTCAAGAAGCTGAATCATTTCTTCAGTGACTGTGTTGAGACACCACATCCCATAGTACTTGGTATAATATTAACTGTACCAAAGGCTTTTAAGCACTCAGTGGGCTCAGAAACAAGTATCCTGTGGTAATTTACTTGTGTGTCTAAGCCCTACCCAAGGGAAAATATTTTGCCCAAGACCAAATTCTGAGTCATACCTCAGAAGAGACTGAAGTCACCCTGACTTTTAGTCAGGATCCAATCTCTCTAAACGTTGCCTCCCAAATTGCCCAGCACTTTGGTAGTGCACAAAAACCCGAGGACAGGCCCCAGTCTGATTGTTGGCTACGGAGAGTCCTGGTGTCTCCAAGTCCTTCCACCACAGGCTGGGACAGAGGGTTACAGCTCCAGTTCTCTCTCTCTTGCCCCCAATGCTTCCAGATTTTGCGCTTCATCGGTGACCAGAGTCTCCGTGGCTGGCAGGAGGTCCTGCTGGGCAACTACATTGCTGGGAGAGGTTTGAGTGATGCTGCTCTGCGCAATGAAATCTTCAGCCAGGTGGTTGCCCAGACCTGGAGGAACCCGGACACGGAGCGCAGCCAGCGAGGCTGGGTCCTGATGGCCACTCTGCTGAGCTGCTTTGGCCCCTCACCAGCCCTGGAGAAGCCACTGCTGAAGTAAGAGGAGAAAAGGCCAAGGCAGGCTTACAGAGGGGTTGAGAGGGATGAGCAGTGCTACATGCAGTTCCTCCTCCTAGGTTTGTGTCAGACTATGGCATGGAGGGCTACAGCGCTGTCTGCCAGCGCAAGATGCTGACGGCAGCTCAGTGCACAGAGACAGCGCCTGCGCCCTCTCGGGCTTACCCTCCCACCCAGCTGGAGTGGACAGCAAACCAGAGGAGAGGGAAGATGGTGCTGGATGTTCATACCTTTAATGGTAACTCAGTCTTCTGCCCTTCTGCTGTCTTTTAGTCTCTAAGGACTTTTCCAGTGCAGAAATCAGCATTTGGGAAACAATTCCCTCAACTAAGTAATGCTGTTTGCTGGTACAACCATGGGGAAAACAAGCATCTGAATTTAGACCCAAAACTTGCAAAGTCTGGGCTTGGTGGGACCTGCTTCTCAGGCTGAGGGATGAGATTGTCCTGGGTTTGGGCCCTGCTCCTCAGAGGGTTGTTCAGGCTGTGCATCTCTACAGGGCTGCTACCCATTACAGCCAATGCAGCAGGATTTTGTTACAGAGAATTTATGCCCTTCTCAAATATTACCTGAAGCTGCCTCTTGAGCAGCCAGAAGCTCTATGAATTGAACACAGAACATCCCTACTCTGGCTCCTTGTGAGTGGAGTGATCCCCAAGCAAACCAGGACACTGCAGGTTTTTACCTGTCAGGTTGGAAATATCAGCCTGTGCCATCAAACAGATATTTTGGATGTGAATGTGTCCATGTGGAGCCTTCCATGAGCTTTCAGTCCTCCTTTGGCCCTGCTCAGGAGTGTGTGAGACTTTCCAGCTGGGCTCTGCCTGTGTCCCATGTGGGTGTTGCTTTGGGTCCTGCCAGGGAGGCTGTGGGTACTGACTTTGCTCTCTGTGCCAGAGGAGAAGTTCTCAACTGAGGTGGAGTCCTGGATGACTGGGGAGCAATTTGCAGCCTGCATCCTGAGTGCAAGGTACTGCCAGAGGATGGGATCAGGTCTGGGGGTGTGTAAGAGGATGTCACCAGCTCTAAGGTTCAGCCTGGTTTGGTCTGCAGGCTGGGGTTTATATGGTCATGTGTAGAATACTCATTTCTTGCCCACTCCAGCCTGTGCTCCCTTCTTCACCCTTAACATAACCCTCAGCCATAAACAATGGGCTTTTTTAGGAAGAGAGGAACCACTGATGTGATCTCTGAGAGCAGCTTCAGAGAAAAAAAAAATGGATAAAAAGGACAAATCTTGAATGATTCTAGCTTTTTTTCCTAACCCTGGGCACTTAATAGTTGATTCACACCCTAAATCGAAAGGATTTAAGCCAGGATAGACAAGGCAAGAATAAACTGAATATAATGTTTTCCTTCCTCTCCCTTTCCCCTGCCTGCCTGGACACCTTTCCTGTCCCAGGGGCTGTGACAAGAGCACTCGAGGGTGGTCTATCTCCATGTTCACTGGCAACACATGGCAGGACCTGCTGGGCTGTGACTTTGTGCTGGACCTCATTGGAGAGATGGAGGAGACCAGCAACTTCATTAGCTCCTCCCGGGCCCCCACTGAGTACCCCATCACTCCAGAAAGGGACAGGAGCATCCTGCAGTCCTCTGACCTGGACATGTGAGCCACCAATTCCTCCTGCCTCACCACCTGTGGCCCTGTCACCCACCTTCCAGCACTCTGGTCCTTATCTCATTTTCCTCTCCAACAGGATCCCTCCTGCTCCAGGTATCCAGGCCCCTGCCTTCCCCCCACCCAGCCTGCCTCCAGAATTTACTGGTCTCCATCCAGGTGAGCTTTAGCCCAGGACTGTGGCTGACACTGGGAAGGGCCAGATGGGCCCCAGGCAGGGCATCAGGGCAGAGGGGGAGTCAGGTGATTCTTCTTGTTGAAGAGCTCCCCTCTGAACCATGACTAATAGGGACTGGAGGCAGGGGAGGGTTTCTTACCTGCCTTGTCACCAGACTTCTGTCTGCTCCCAGATCCAAGATTTAGAGATGACCTGAGGAACCCTGTGGGCTTGGATCACTATGTGGATGATCTCTTCAGCCCTGTGCTGCATCAGAGCTCCAGAGGATCTGTAAGTGCCCTGATGTTCCCTCCTGCCTTCTCTCTGCAGCTCTCCAGTCCCTGTGAATCCTGCAAGTTTTTCCTGCCTATTCACTGTCCCTGCTCGGCTCAGACACGCCTTTGAATGTCTTTCCCTCTGGGAAGTTACCTGCCTTGTCACCAGACTTCTGTCTGCTCCCAGATCCAAGATTTAGAGATGACCTGAGGAACCCTGTGGGCTTGGATCACTATGTGGATGATCTCTTCAGCCCTGTGCTGCATCAGAGCTCCAGAGGATCTGTAAGTGCCCTGATGTTCCCTCCTGCCTTCTCTCTGCAGCTCTCCAGTCCCTGTGAATTCTGCAAGTCTTTCCTGCCTATTCACTGTCCCTGCTTGGCTCAGACACGCCTTTGAATGTCTTTCCCTCTGGGAAGTCTGTCTCTCTGAGCTCAAATAACTGTTCTGGGCTTCTTTTGATGCAGGATATGGAGAACAGGGAGAATCTCACCAGACGCATGAAAGGAGGTGGGAAGATTGGCCCCACACAGAGAGGAATCTTTCCTTCTACAGGTCTGTAAGGGCATGGGGACACCTGGGACTACATGACCTTCAGTGAGCACAAGTCAGGGAGCCCCTTAAATGCTAATTATTGCATGTTCAGCTGGTTCATCCAGAGCACTGGGCTTTAGCACAGGCTGCACTCCTCACTCCCAGGTGAGACAGGTGCCTTGCAGAGGTGTTAGATAAGGGAATTGCTTTGTTGTGCTTGTAATTTCTCTTTTGAGCTGGCCTTGGGGTCAAGGCAGCAAGTAGCTTGCTTCTGACCCAGGCCACCTCTTCCCTAGACAAATATTTGTAAGCCATGTATTCACCTGCTATTGACCCCACGCTTTCACAGAACAGTTGGTGCCTTTATCAGGGGTGGTTTTAATCTTTTTTATTACTTCCTTACAGAATTTCCCATCATCTGTAGCTATTCCTTGGTTTAGTAACTCTGAACCCTGAAGAGGTTCTGCTTTGTGTGTTTGGTTTCTTTGCTTTTCCTCATTTCTGTGGAGCTGAGACTCTGGCATTTGCAGCAGGGTGGAGTCAAACACCAATATATTAACGGCACTGACAAATCTGAATTTGCATGGGTAGGAACACACCCAGCAGTCTCAGAAAGGTGGGGAATGTCCAGTTCAGTCATTCCTGAGACAGGAACTATTTCTGACTATTGGAGAGGCTCTGGGGCCTGACAAGCCCTGTTACAGATCACTGGCCTGAGGCCAGTTTGTCACTTACATGGCTTCTTGGATGAGTAAGGTGTATGATGGTCATCCCAGGGCCATTCTCACTGGTGAGGACATAATGATTCAGTAGATTTGTGCTGTGTGCTGACTCCTCTCATCTGAGTCTGACCCCCACACCCCTTGCTCTGCTGGCTTCACACTCAGTGGGGTTTGTTTGTGACCCCATAAGGGACTTGACTGCTGGGAGCAGAGGAATTCCTTTCTCCCCACAGCTCCTCCCCATGACACACAATGCCATCCAGGCCAGGACTCCTTGTCCATCCAGCCTTGCCACCCACTGCAAAGACACCAATGTGACAGTCCCAGCAGTCCCAGCCCCAGAGATTTCCCCAAGAGAAAACCTCTGTAATCATACACAGGCAGGAATTATTTACAAGCTTAATCATGAGGAATGGTGGTGTCCAAAGCTAGGCTGCAGAAACAGAGTCTGGATACTTCTATTTAAAATCTGGCAGGCCACACATTTTTCTTAGTTTTCCTTTTTCCACCTGAGTTTTGCTGCGTCCTGCTGTGGTTGGTGCACGTGGAGAGCACCAGAAGTGCTCTCTGGGGCTGCTCAGGACATCCTCATTTGGGATTCTCCAAAGCACTGTGCACTTGGTCTTTTGCCTCTAGGCTTGTCTGGAATGACTCAAACACCAGTTTACCAGCCCATGCCCTCCATGATGGGGATGCCAGCAGCCATGCCCATGATGCCAGGGGTTGGTGGGGTTGCACCTATGCCAGGTAATAGCAGTGTTTCTGAAACTGCAGAGGGCAGGGGGTGGAAGGGGGCTGTCAGTGAAGCCTGTGCATTTCAGTGTCATGTGAGGGGCTCAGTGGGGAATGTTCACCTCTAGGATTTTGAAGATGTGTGTGTTGTCTTCCACAGCCATGGTGATGCCCCAGCCCATGGTTCCAGCTGTAGATCCCAGCCAGCTGGCAGCACAGCAGCAAGCCTTTATCAACCAGCAGGCCATGCTCATGGTGAGTGGAAGGGCCCCAGGAACTGGGGAAGAGCCACACGTTGGTGTTTGTGCCTTGGAGGGGGAGCCCAGCTCTCCTCCTGTTTGGGCCTGCTCTGTGTCACTCTCTGCTCACGTGCTGGGGTGAACTCTATTTTAATCCCCACTATAAAGTGGGCATTATTTAAGACTGGAAAACTGAGAACCCTCTTTTTGCCTCTTTGTGTTCATGGGGACACTGAGGCACCATCAGTGAGTGAAGAGCAGAGACAGGAGCAGGCCCTGAGAAGATTCAGCTGTAGATCCCATGAGGTTTTAAGCTGGGATTTGCTACAGATACAGGTCTGCAGTGTTCTGCGTTCTGTGCAAAGCTCTGTGAGTGCATGGCAGTCCCAGGCTGGCAGCTGAGCCTTTGAGGGGTGTTAGGAGCTCTGCATCCTTGGCCAGGTGGGAGAAGACTCCCTGGGCATGCCTTGTCCACACACTGTGAAATTTGCCATGCACTATGTGGATGTTTTGGGATTGATTAACAGTGAAAAAACAGGACAGGCTGTGACTGATGGCTGGGTTTGTGTAGCCTAGAGCTCATGGACATTGCAATTCCTTCCCCAGGCCCAGCAGATGACCCTTCAAGCCATGAGCATTTCCCAGCAGCAGCAGCAGCAGGAGCTGCAGAAGCAGCAAAAGTCTTTTGAGAACTCAAGGCCAAGAGTCTCCAGCCCAGCACAAGCCTCAGCCCCAGCCACTCTCCCAAAACCCAAGAAGCCTTCCAGCAGCCAGGCTGCTGCAACACCATCAAGGTCTCCAGAGCCACCAGCCAAGGCAAAAGAGCCGGTATGAGAAACAAGCAGGGGTGGATTTGGTTTGAATTTCGTGTTTGGTGTTTGCTCTGCATCCATCCGGAGGAGAGCAGAGATTTGTGCTTCCTGATGATACTGAGACCTTTCAAATTCTGCTTGCTCAGTCTTTAAGGATCAAACCTCAGTGGCTTTTGCTCTGTGGAGGTTTGGCTGCAGGGTTGGCCAATTCATTTCCAGTTAAGCTGAATTTTTCCACAGAAGAATTAATTACTCTGAGTTCTTTATCTTCCAGCAAGCTGTGTTGGGCCTCTAACATAATCCCCCTTCTCTGTGCTTGGCTGAGGGTTCCTTGTGTTAGAAATTGACCTATTGGGACACTCCTGGATGTGGAGAGGTTCTAGATCAGATTGAAACAAAATCACCCCTGAGCTGAAGGGGACTGCAGAGGTACTACTGGCTGGTGCTAACTAAACAAGTTGTGCACTGTCTGCAGGATTATGACTACGTGGAAGAGGAGTTCTCCAGCAGTGAAGATGATGACTGTCCTCGGGAAACCTTCCAGCAGAAGAAAGAGTACTTCCAGAAGATGGGTGAGTGTCTGCCACTTTTGGAATTTCACTCATCACAACAGCTTGCTCTGCAGCCTTCCTGGCATGCCCAGCTGTTCTTGTCTCCCTGTCTGGAATCCAGCTAATCCCTGCAGGAGCTGCTGGTGATGTGTGTACAGGAGTTTGGGGTTCTTGCAATTCAGATTGTGAGCTGTACTGGGGCCAGTTTTCTAGAAATCTCTGGGCATGTGACTGCCACATCCTGCCTCACTCTAGAAAAGAGGTTTTTGCTGACTGAGGCAAGAGTGAGAGCTGTGCCATCTGTGCCAGGTTTTGGTGTGGCTTAGACTAGCTCAAGTTCCCCTTTCTATTCAGGAGAGCAGCGCATTCGAGTGAAGAAAGTCAGACCTAGCAAAACCTGGACTCCTCCAGCAAAACCCCAGCCAACAGAGGAGGAGGAGGAGGAGAAAAGAGAGGAGCTGGAGAAGAGGAAAAAAGAGGAGCTGGAGAAGAGGAAAGAAGAGGAGCTGGAGAAAAGGAAAGAAGAGGAGCTGGAGAAGAGGAAAGAAGAGAAGCCTGTCCCTAAACCAGAGCCAGGTAAGATGTTGTGCAGTGGAGACTCAAGCAGGTTGACAAGGAAGACCTTTCTAGGAACATTAGGCCAGGATTTAGGCAGAGGAGAGAAGGATCTGGCTCTTTTGGGAGTCTGCATCTTGATGGGAGAGGAAAGAGGAATGTCAGGCCATTGCCAGTCAGCATCAGAGGGAAAGAAAGGGAAGGTCAAGTGAGATAAAGGGATTTCTCTTGTGTCTTTGTTGGTCTGTTGATTAAAACTGTCACCTCAATAGCTCCTGCCTCCCCTCTGCCACCTCCTGAGCCAAAGCCAAAAAAGGAAACACCAAAACCAAAGAAGGAGCCACCTGTAGTGAAGCCTTCAGGCCCCGAGAAGCGTCCTGCACCCAGCCGTGAGATCGGGAACATCATCAAAATGTACCAGAGCAGACCAGCCCCTGAGCCCCAGCCCGTCCAGCCCGCCAGGTGAGAGTGTGGGATCCCCCCTGTGGGCAGGAGGGTCATGGGAGTTCTTTATCTCAGCTCTGCCAGTGGCTCCATTGTGCCCAAACCACATAATGTTGTTCCATGTTCCCTTGCAGGAGAGTATCCAAGCCATTTGTAAAGAAGAACGACCCCAAAAATGAGGCTCTGGCCAAGCTGGGAATGATGAACCCCTCACCTCAGCGATCAGTGAGTTCTTTGCTCTCTGGTTACTTCAGGAGCTCAGCAGAGAGAGCCTGTCCATCCCATATCCAGCAGGCTGGGATCTCCCTGGTGCTGCAGTAGCAGCCAGGTGATTTCTGGTTGGGTTGTGAGATAGCTGGGAGCTCACACCATGATCCTGCCCACCCTAGACTGGTTCCAGTCTGTAAAGTCATCTGAGGTCCTGAAGAAAAGGCTCTGGAGCAGCAAGTCCTATTGTCAGATGCTAAAGTCTGATCTGGAAGCAAGCAACTCATGTTCTCCATGTTTGGCACCAAAGCTTTGGCTTGTTAACATCCTTTTTTCCTTTCCAAACTGGAGGCTTTGATGCCAAATGCTTAGTCGTCTGGGTTTGGTTGATCATCTCTTTGTAGATTTTGTGTTGATCTAAAGGCAGTGGTGGGCTGTTCACACAGATCTTGCTCCAGGGGTGGGCTGCTGCCCCAAGATGATTTAGAACAGCAGTGTCAGGACAGAACCCAGGGAAAGACTGGCTCAAATGGTTTTGTTGTCTTGTAGCCATCTCCTGTGCCACAGGAGAAGAAAACACCTCCACCTGTCAAGCCCAAGCCAGGCCCAGCTTCCAGCTCTATCAAGGAAAAGCAGCTGCCTCTCCTGTCCATCTTCAAACCAGAGGGTGCCCCACCAGCTGCCCAGGCCCCTCCTGCTCCTTCTCTCCCCCCACCAACACCTGAGGACCAAGGCAGGCAGGAGCCCACAGGGAAGGGTGAGTATTGGTTTCATCCATGTGGGATTTGGTAGCAGGGCAGGGAGGGGATGGGGCTGGAATCAGCCCAGGAGAGTCATGGCACAGGTCCTGGCATTAGGCAGTGCCAGGGACTGAGTGACTGTGTGAGACCAGGGAGATGTTTATAATGACAAAGTGATACAAAGTGAAACCTGTCTCCAACTCAAGCACCGGGAGAGTGTGGGAGGCTCAGTGTGGGAGGCTCAGTGCTCCCCATGCCTAGAGTGTTTCTGTTCTTAGCAGACAAAGTGACACAAAGTGAAACCTGTCTCCAACTCAAGCACTGGGAGAGTGTTTTGTGTGGGAGGCTCAGTGCTCCCCATGCTAGAGTGTTTCTGTTCTTAGCAATGAACTTTGTGGCTAGACAGTGGAAGTGTAAATGCTACCAGAAATTCTGGGAATGACTGATTTGTGCTCACATGAGCTGGTTACTGACCTCCCTGTCAGGAATATTCCATCAGGAACTGTCCCCTTTCTCCCAGCAGATCTTTGATGGGTGGACAGGACCTTGTAACCCTCAGAGCCCATCTTCACTGCTTTTTCTTCCCATGCAGACTCTGCTGTGACAGTGGCAGGTGATGATGGGATCAAGACCCAGCTGTACAAGCTCACCACCAGTGTCAGCTTTTCCTATGTTGACCCTGCCTGGAAAATTTTTCTGCGCAAAGAGGTTCAGTTCCTTAGCTGAGGATTGGCTGGGGGGGAGCTCATCCCATCTTTGGTTAAAATGGGTTTTTTTGGTCATAGGCACTCAATGTAAGATAAGAGCACAAAGATAACTCTGGGAGCCCAGACCCAGGAGTTGGGGGCAGGGGATCATGTCATGGGGAATCTGGAGAGAGGGATGGAAACCAGTAGTAGACTGGTATGTGCAAGTGTCCTTTCCCCTGTGCATGTGGTTTGCTGTGCTGTGAACACAGAGGGACTGCTGGGAATGAATCCCTGGGAAGAGGGAGACTTGGCCACCTTGGTCTTTCTAAGCAAGTAACTGTTTTGTAACCCTGCTAGTGGAGTTCCGAGTTGGCAACAATGCCCAGTCCATTCAGGAGGAGGGGATCAAGAAGAGGATTGTAGTGGCTGCACGGGACAACTGGGCCAACTATTTCTCCCGCCTTTTCCCAGTTCAGGTGAGCCTTAATTCTCTCACCATACCCTGGGCTTGCTTTAGTTGTGGCTCCAGTTCATTCCTTCTGTCCCCCTGCCTGGCCACACTGCAGTGATTCTGTACCTTCCATACCTTGCAGGGTTTCACACCTCTTGTGTGGCATCTCCTTTCCCTGCTGCCACCTGTGCAGGTGGGATGGAGCCTTTGGTTCTCTGTGCTGCACTTCCCTTACAGGGTGAAAAGGGAAGTGATGTGCAGCTCCTGGGTGTTTCTCACCGGGGCATGCGGCTGCTGAAGGTGGAGAAAGCAGCTGGATACCGACCTGAGCACCTCAAGATCCTATGCAGCTACTGGTGAGCAAAGGGGCCCTGGCTGCTGCAGGAGGACAGTTTGTGTCTGGCAGGGTGTTGGAGGCAATCTGAATGGGGGAGCTAAAAATTCCGAGCTGTGCTGTACTCTGTAGGATTATCCTAGGCCAGCTGTGATTCACTGACCTTCCTTTTAATGAGTCTGGCTTCTCCTTTTCCTTCCTACCTTGAGCTTTGCTTACAACAAGTGAGGGCTGGGGTGAATCAGCTCCCTGTGCCACCACAGCGAGCTCCTCAGGGTGAAAGCCATGAGCAGCTGGAGGAAGGCCAACATGGAGAATGTTGAGGCATGTCTCCGTTCCCAGTCCTTGGAATGGGCTGCCATTCCCATGTTCTGCATCCCAACCTCTGGCAGAAGGAGCCTGAGCATGCTGGCTTGTGTTCCCAGCTTTGCAGATGTACTGGCAGTGGAGATGAAAGGCAGCAATTCCCTGGAGTTCTCCCTGAAGACAGAGCAGCTCATCCTGCACTCTCCGAAGGCTCCGTGCATCAAGGCCATGGTGGAACTCTTCATGCAGGAGCTGAGGCAGGTGAGGCAGCAGCTGGAGTGCAGTAGTCCCAGATGAAACTGAGAGTGCCCATGGGATGCCACGATCCAAGCCCTTCACATCCCTGGGATGAGATTTGACCTGGCCACGGCCTTTTCCCAGGACACCAACTACGTCGTGGCTCTGCGCAGCTACATCGTGGATGACAAGAGCATGCTCAGCTTCAAGAAGGGTGACCTCATCGAGTTGCTGCCCATGCAGGGCGTGGAGCCAGGTGAGGGGGTGTGCTGGGATTGGCAGGACCAGGATCAAAGGTCTGCTGGACCCATGGTGCCCAAAACCAGAGGAATACAGGGTGGGCTGGCATCATCAGCCTCCAGCTCTGCCAGACAAGCCTTGTCCCAGTTGCCTCAGTTATAGGAATATATGTTATATATATACATATATATATATATATATATGTTTCCTGAGTATGCAGGAAAACCTGGTGAGTCTGATGCTCTTCTTTGTTAGCAGAGAGCTTCAGTGCTCATTTCTCTTGGCAGCTGCCCTGGTTCCTGATCCTTTCTCTGTTCCTTTTCCAGGGTGGCAGTTTGGCTCCACTGGTGGCCGCTGTGGTCTCTTCCCCACCAGCCTGGTGCAGCTGGCTCCTGCCATTGACTACCTCAGCAGCAGCATGGACAGACGGGGAGAGCAGAGGAAGAGCATGAGAGCTCGCCCAGAGAGCAGGAACACCAGCAGGGAGGTGAGCAGTCCTTGGGGAGGGACACCCAGGGGACATGGCTGGGTTCAGCAGGAGCTGCCAGGGTGGATCCATGGCTCTGGGGGTGTCTGACCTCTGAGGGCAGAGGGAAGAGGATGAGTGCTTAGTCTTTGCAGATGAGACACTCAAATCTATCACCGTGTTGGAGGGGAGGCACCACACACACTGAGGCCTGGCAGCTGAGAATACACACTGCAGTTCCTCAGCTGATGTTTTAGGGTGGGTTTGGTGGTGTTCCTGCAGAGTTCTGTTCTCAGCCTGACACCAGAAGCCACCAGCACCATGTTAGTCCCTGCTGGTGACCATTACACCATGATTGACTTTGCCACCACCTACTTCCGAGAGGCTCAGTCCATGTGAGTAGCCTATGCTCCTTCCCAAACAGGACCTGGGTAGCCTGACCCACCCCAGGCTGTTTCTGGGGCTATTTCTTGGACTGCATGTTCCCTCTCCTCTGTCTAGGCAGGGCCTGAAGGGGATGTCTGCTGAGAAGAAGAATGTGGCTGAGCTGGTGCGGCACACCAAGGTGAGCTCAGCCTCTGGCCACAGCCAGAATCCCTGCTCCAGCACTGCCTCTGGCTTTGTCCCCACATGGCCAAGGAACAGACCCTTGGCTGCAGTCTCTGGACAAGTTTAGGTGTCCCCTACTCTTTGGTGCTGGATCCTGGCAGCTCAGGTGTCTGGTGCAGCCTGCAGAGCACAGCTCTGTGTGACCCACAGCCCTGGGTTATCCCTGTGCTCTGGCCCTGCAGGTCCCAATCCAGGCGTCTTTGCTGCGGTACTCTGACAGTGAGCTGAACGAGCTGGCCACAAAGAACTTCCAGAGTAAGGACCTCCCTGGGACACAGCACTGCAGAGGGGGGAGTGGGGTGGCCAGGGTGGACATGCACAGACATTGTGGGGCTCAGTGGGAGTGGAAACTGGGTGAGGAGGGCCCCTTCTAAGGCATTTCTGCAGTTCATAATCCCCTGTGTGCTTGCTGAGAGCTTCCAGCAAAAAGGGACTTTGCCTTGAGTGCCAAGTGTCCCAGAACACTCTGCCTGGGCTTTGGGCTGCCCCCACATGTCCAGTGCAAGCCTTGTAACAGCAGAGAAGTTTTCAGGACATTTGTTTGCCCACTGCCAGCCCCATGGCACAGCCACCCCAGCTCAGACTAAAGGCCAGGCTTTGCCTTGCAGCACTGATGAGGTTCATGGGAGATCAGCCAAAACACAAGCACCAGACTGAGGTCCAATGCATCTATGAAATTCTTCAGGTTTGTGAGCTTCCCCTGGGCAAAGTGCAGAAGCACCAATGGGAATGGAGGGCCAAGACCTTGCTGGGAAGGAAAAGAGCAGGGAGAGCCATAATGTCACCTCCTACATGAGGAAGGGACATGAAACAGACTGTGGGGAGGGTTTGCATGTAAATGGTTTCCCTGGGTATCACTGTCTGGATGAGAGCACAACCTGCCTCTGCTCTCTCCTCCTTTGATCCTAAATAGCACTAGAGACCAGAGGCTGCAAAGCCCAAACTTTAAGCCAAACTTGCAGAGCTCTGAGGCTGGGAGAGGTAGGGCACAGAGATGACCTACAGATGTCTCTGATGCTCTCATCCCCTCTCTGATGCTGTTTTCTCCTCTCTGGATGCAGCTGTGCAAGGAGAAGGAGAATTTACACGATGAAATCTACTGCCAGGTCATCAAACAGGTCACCCACAACCCTCAGCAGTGAGTACCAGCACTGCCAGCTCCTGTGTGTGCACAGCTGGAGAGGAACCATGTGCTGCAGGGACACCAGGGCCAGGGGGGAGGGTGTCCCCTCAGGATGGGTTGTCCCCAGCTGCTCCAGTGCTGAAGCTCCTGCTGAGCACTCTGGAAATTTTGCCAGTCCCTGAGTCTGGCATTTTCACTTTAGTGGATATTTTTCCTTATATTTCTGGCTGCTGATCTATCCAGGCACAGTAAACATTCCTGGTGGCTCCTGCTTGTGGTGCTGCTCAGGGCCCAGATTTCCTCCTCCCAGCCTTGGGGAATTGATAAACACCAGTCAAGGACTGGTTTGGCCCCACGCTGCCCTGGGAGGTGGCAGCAGTGGTGTTGGAGTGGCCTTTATTGTTCCTTTTCTTTGCTTGCTGTTGGAATAACTGAATCAATCTCTTACTCAGCACAAGAAACCTCTGACCAAGGGCTGACATCTCCTTTTCTGCCAGCTGCCAGAGGTGTTCAGAAGGGCACAAGCTCACTTTGAGCTGCTCAGAGCAGGAATTGTCTTGTCCCAAGGTGCCCACAATCCTTTCTGATCCGCAGGGAGAGCGAGCTGCGGGGCTGGCTGCTCCTAAACCTGCTCACTGGATACTTCCTGCCTTCCAAAATCCTGATGCCCTATGCCACCAAGTTCCTGCAGCTGGCCAGCAGTGATCCATCCAGCACCCACCACGGTAAGACTGTTTGTGTCCTGTAAAGCAAATATTCCGGATCTAATCTCCCTATCCTGTCATTCCTCTGTCCTGGACACTGTTATGTTTGGATGTGTCCCGGCAGGGTGGGAGGTGAGGTCAAGGCTCTTTGCTCCCCTAGCAGTGACCAGGGGTGTATTGGTTTGAACAGACAGGTGTCTGCTAAGGAAGGCAGGAGCCTCCCTTGAAATGAAAAATGTAAAACCCCTCCCTCTGAATTATTATAATTTTTAAATTAAGGGGCTCCCAGGCAAAGATATGTGAATAGGAATAATAGCTCTTTACTAGGAAACTAAAAATAGAAATGCAGTAATACAAAACAACATTGCCAGAGTCAGAACATGCCCTGAGCCCTGTGTGTCAGGGTGGTGGCACAGTCCCATCCCATGGGGGCTCAGCCCTCCTGCAGTGCCAGCTGTGCTTCTGCTGGAGCAGGGATCCTGGACAAGGCTGGAGTTTTCCTCTGAAGCTCCAGGGCTGCTGGAGATGGGCCTGCTCTCCCTCTGGGAATGCAGGGCAGGAGAAAGCTGCTCCTCTGGGAATGCAGTGGGCAAAGGCTGCTGTGCTGTTCCAGGCTCAGATTGTATCCAGGCAGGAATGCTTGGCTCCTGCCCTGGGCGGAGCATCTCCCCATGGGATGCTGGAATTTGATCAGCCCTGCAGGGACACTCCCTGGCCATGGACAGCAGAGATCTGCTGGAGGGAGGATTGATTGTGGGAGAGAAAAAGAGAAAAGCTGCCCAATCAACAGCAGAGAACTGCCCCAGCTCTAACAGATAGGAATAGAATACGCACAGCCAGCCACATCATGCAACCTAAGACAAGGGGTAAACTCAACCCAGCCAGGATGACCCAACACCACAGGACACTGTGTTTAGTTCTTTATTTGGCTCAGCACATGGAGCTTTTTCCTCTTCCTGCAGATATAGCCAAGATCTGCCAGAGCAACCTGCGCAAAAACTTCCTGTATGGGGGCCGTCGGCACCTGCCCTTCCCTGTGGAGATGGAGGCACTGCTGGTATGGAGGGGCAGGGAGGTGGCGTGGGTGCTGGAAGGGGGACACAGAGGAGGCTTTGGAGGTGCCACGTGCAGTGTGACAGGGGCAGTTGGTGTTTCAGGAGAGGAAATGGAGCGTGTACATGGAAGGAGCTTGGGAAGTGCCGTGCCATGGAGCGGGCAGGGAAGAGGCAGGTGCTGTGGGCAAGCAGTGGCAGCAGGGATGAGGAAGGAGAGGGACAAATGCCTGGGGCAGATGGGACCCTGCATGTCTTGCTGCCTGAACTTTGTCCTTTCAGAAGGGACACGGTGCCCGCCGGCTGGTTGTGCTGATGCCTGGAGGCATGGAGTACCTCACCAGGATCAGGACATTCACTGTGAGTTTCCAGCTGTGAATTCCTTCATTGGTCTGGACTCTGAGCCACACCAGGGAAATCCCTTATCTGACAAGGAACAATGTGTCTGCCTGCTCTTGGGCTTGCCTGGTCAGGGTATTCATTTCGTTCTTTCCTTGCTTCAGGTGGCCAAGGAGCTCCTGCAGGAGATCTGTGAGCAGATGGGAATAGGTGAACAGCAAGAAACACAGGACTTTGTTCTCTTTGCTGTCAGGAATGACGACAAAAATCTTGGCAAGTAGAGACCAGCATAGAGGTTCTCTCTTCCAGTAGCCTCTGCAAAGGGAGCATCACAGCTCCTGCTTGGAATAGTTCCTCCACCCTTGCTGCCTCCTGGGCAGTTTCCCTCTGTATTAGGGTTAAGGATTGATCCTTCTCAGGGGCTGTGTTGCTTGTTCTGGAAGAGATGTGGGGTTCTGTGTCCCTTTGCAATGGCTGATGGTTGGAGTCTCAGGGCAGGGTGGAACTGAGGTGGGCAGGAAGGCTCCAGTGCCAGCCTCTCCACCAAGAAGGATGGGGATGGATGACCCTCTCTCTGTGTCATGTAGGTAAAATGGTGAGGCCAATAAAACTGGAGGAGTATCTCCATGATTACCTGCTGGAGGACAAGCTGGTCACTGTGACCTTACGCAGGCTCATCTGGAGGACACCTCTGCACTTTGACAACCAAGTTTACACAGATGTCCATTATGGACAGGTAAGCAAGAGCAAGACCCTCCCTAGCAGGGACAGATGTGGTGTCCCAGCCAACAGAAGTGTCCCAAGGGGCCTGAAAAAGCAGGTGGGCTGATAGGCTTTGTGTGCTGTTTCTGGGAGTGACTGAACACTGAAGCTGTGGATGCCAGGAAAGCTCTGTGCCTGTGGCCTTAGCCTGGAGCAGTGCTGTTCCACACATTGTGCAGTTCTCCAGGCTCTTCCTGAGCTCAGAGAGCCTTTGTTTTGCATTATCAGCAAGGCAGGATGTGGGTCTGTGCAGCCTGGCACTGCCCAGGCTTGCCTGTACCCTCTGGCAGCTTTAACAAAGGCCTCTTTGCTGTGCTGTTCCTCAGGTGGTGTGGGATTACCTGAATGGGAGGATCCTGCTGAACCAGAATAAAGAAATGGAGATGCAGGTGGGCCTTTTGGCAATGTTCCAGCACTGGGCCAAAGTGGAGCAGCAGAACTCTGCTCCCTCCAGGTATGTCTGTGGCAGAGGGGATCTCTCTGTGATGGCCATAGGCACCACAGGGGTTAGGGGCAGGTACCTGGAAGTCCTCTTTGAATAATTAAGAAATGTCCAAGGAGAACACAGAGGGTCATGAGAGTGCCATGGTCATTTCATTTGATTGCCATGACACCAAGAAGGAAGGGGAAGTCCTCTTTGAATAATTAATATCCAGTTCTGGAGAACACAGAGGGTCATGAGAGTGTGACACCAAGAAGGAAGGACATGAGCTCATGGTTTGGGTGAATCCTCCTTTGTTCTCTCTCACAAGTGTCAGAGGCTTCAACCCTGGACACCTGAAATCCCACTGTAGTGGGATGCCCAGTGGGAACAAAATTGTCCCTGGATACTGGAAACCTTCAGTCCTGCAGTTCCAAGCTGTACTTTGCCACTCCTTCCTTTCCTTATGCACTTTGACTTGGAGTTGAGGTAATGCCTCCATCAGATCCCCTTAAAGCATCAGGGAAATGGCACAACCCTGCTGGGCACTGAGGAGCTCTTGCTGTCTCCAGAAAGGAAGGATTTCTCTCCATGCACTGGTCAGTGGTGCACAGCTGAATTCTCTGTGGACAAGGGTGGTCTCACTTGGTCTCTGATTGTTCCTTCCACCTTACCCAACTCAGGCATTACCTGTTGTGCTCTTCCTCTCCCAGATATACAGTGGAAAATTGTTGCCCCATCCCCTCCTTCCTCTTAATCCCCTGGCTGATGTTTGATTTTAGCTGGGCAGGGGATGAATTAGAATCTGTTTTTGGCACAGGGAAGAGCTGAAGGAATACACTCCAAAGAGCCTGCAGTCCTCCATCAGCCTCAAGGCTCTGCACAACCACGTGGCCACACTGCTGAGAAAGAGGCAGCCCCTCCAGCCACGGGATGCAAAAATCCAGTTCATAGGTGAGGAGACACCCAGATCTCCCTCAGTTTCTATGCTGTTTCAGCTTCTGGAAGCTGCTCTGAATGTACTTTTGGGACAATTCATGAGGTTGTTGATGGTTCTTGGAGCCTGGAATGAGCCATGAGAATGGAATTCCCTGACAGCTCCTCACTGTGGATTAGATCTTGTTCCCAAGCACGGTGATGATTGTAGAAGTTCCATCTCTTGTAGGAGTCTGCAGTGGACTTTCAGAGCTCTGTACAAGCGGTGTTTTAATTGATATTCTGGCTGCATTTCTGTTTTCCAGTCAGAAAAGGACAGGACATCCACTCAGGCCGCTGAGAATTGAGTCTCAGAAGCCAGGGAGGGAGGCAGGAGTTGTCAACATTACTTTTTAATGTAGAAAATCTTGGGAGCACTGGCAGCTTTTACCACCCCAGGCGGGTGCAGTAAATTGTTGGCTGAAAGCTGCTGCCCTCAGGCCACTTTTTGCTCTCTTCTAGAGCACCTGATGAAATTGCCTTTCTTTGACTACGCCATCTTCATAGTGGAGAGAATCAGTGATAACACGATCCCTGTGCCCTGTTTCTTTGGTGTGAACAAGGAGGAGATCATTGTGGTGGATGGCACCAGCCAGGTATGCCAGACAATCCCCCCTGCTGTCTGTCAGATATGAACTGTGACTTTAGAAGAACTTGTGAAGGAAGAGGCTGGACTTCCCTGGAAGCATCACAGCCACTCTGACAACAGCACTGGCCCAGAGCAAGAGAGTGTGCAACAGGCATTATTGTCATGAGCTCTTTTGTAAGTCCAGTGTTTATGCTAACAAGAACAATCCACATCAAAACTAAATGTAGAACACATTCCTGTTTGTCCCCAACCTGTGGGAGTTCCAGGGCTGTATCCTGCACACACCACCCTGTGCCCCAGGCCTTCCCTCAGCTTTCCACAGGCTCTTGTGGTGAGAATCAGATGGTTTCACTTTGGGGACTGCTCCTGAGAGTGGCTGGTGGCTTTTCCCCCGGCAGGCGGTGTCGCGGGTCATTCCCCTGAAGGAGCTGCAGAAGATGCGCACGCTGAGGCCCATCTCCGACGGGGGCCTTCCCGGCCTGGAGCTCCACTATGGCTCCCCTGCCAGCCCCAAGGCCCTGTGGCTGGAACTGTCACAGGTGAGATCAGCCTGGGCCTGCAACTTCCTCCTGGCACCTCCCAAATTGCCCTTCCCTGCCCAGCTGAGCCTCTGCTGAGGGATGGTGCTGCTCCTCTCTCGTGTCCCAAAGGAGGAGAGGGACACTGCATTTCCAGGCTCTGAAGTGCAGCTTGGTCCCAGCACATGGCTGGTATTTAATTATGGGAAGTGATTTATGGGGATATTTAAGTAGGAGAAGCAGCTCTTTCCGGGGCAGGGTGATTGATGCCGGTTTGTGTTTTGACAGGCCAAAGAACTGTACCACACGATTGTTGTCATCCTGGATAAAACAGAGCTGCGCTCCTAGAGCCTAAAAGGAGGAGAATGGCCAAGGAAAACAGCACTGTTTCTCTTTCTCTGAACTTGGTCAGTGCTCCCTGACCTGTCTTTGGGAGAGAACTCTTCCAGAAGACACCCAAGACCTCAGCCAGCTGCTTTCTAAGAATGCCACCACAGCGTTTGTTGATGGAGTGACCGTAACCCTCGTGACCTGCCATTCAGCCCTCAAGCACTTCCTTGAAACAATCCATGTTGTGGCTAAACAAACCCCAAGGGCCTCTCCACACCACAGCCCGTTCCAACAAAGAGCAGCTGACCCAAAGCAAGCACTTGCCTGCAAGCTTTGCACCATGCAACTCCTCCTTTCTGTTTTGAATTAATTATTATGAGCAAAGCCTGGTGCTTGCTAGAGATTTGTGTATCCCAATGCCCAGCTGAGGCTGCAGGGGCTGCTGGTGTTTTCCAGGAGCCAGATTTGTCTCTGAATTGATATGCAGAGATCCTGTAGCAGGATTTGTGAAGCAATTTGTAGAAAGCATCCTAAAAAGCTGATCAGTGTTAATCATACAATTAACACATATGCTGGGGCACAGATTGAGCTGCAATGGTAAGGAAGTTTACTGTTAATTAATTTCTCACTGACATAATTATATGCATATGCTTCCCTCTACTATAAAGAAGTCAGTCATGGCCATGCAGCTGTCAGACTTCAATGATGGCTCCGTGCCCATGGAGGAAGCTTCTTCAAACAGAACTTGTTTTATACTGAAGTGTTTTGGGTTGTACAAAAATATTTAATTTATTTTTATTGCCACAGCTCTCCTAATGACCTGAGGAGTAACTGCCCTTTAGGAAATTGCAATAAAATAATCATAGAGATGTTCTGAAGGTGTATGCTAGTTGTTACATCTAACCTGGGAAAACTTAACTGCAGGCAATGGGCAAAGCTTGTGGAAAATGTCATTGTTGGCAGGGAAGGGGGATGGATCTGAGGGTGCTCAGTGCAAGCCCTGATGCACAGTTAGACTTTTGCTGGTGAGCTGGTGCCAGTGGACCTACAGCATCTTCCCTAGCAGGTGCTTCTCTTGGAGTGCTGGCTGCTTAACGTGCCTCTGACCAGTCTGTGTGACTGAGTTGTAAGGAAAAGCTTCCAGGAACAATCCACAGCAGTTGTAACCTTGCTTTATTGTCACTCCTGCATATACCCTTCAGAACATTTAAAAAAATACATCTGTGGAATGCAGTGATCCAAAGCCCTGGGAAGCCTCTGAGGCTGCACATTCCTCTGGCAGCACGAGAGCCTGAGGCCACCAGCCCCTGTAGGTATGCAACAGAGGCAGAACCCAACAAAAATCCAACAGGAAGGACTTGTGCCAGGGAATCAGGATCAGGTTCCATATAAACATAGCAGCAGAGGTACCACAGTGTCAGTCTGAGGGTCACAGCAGAACCGTACCCAGCTGTATTAGCAGCACTGCCCCCTGCACTGCAGACTTTTGGTGAGGCACAGGGAGCAAATATGGCTTTAGGGATTACAAGCAAAGGCTGGAAGTGTTGCAGGGGTTAATACTGAAAGAGTATCACCACTTAAATTAAAGGGCAGACAGAACTGGACAAAGTTAAAGAAGTTCACATTAAAAGAAAATCTGAGTTTCTCCTTTAGAAAGCAAGCACTGCCTCCATGGTAACTACAAAATGCTCCTCCCCTGCCCTTCAAACAAAAATATTCCATCCAGGAACTCAAACATTGAGTTTGTCACTAGCAGCCCTGAGCAAAGCATGAACTTGCAGCATATTGGTGACACTGAAATAAGAAACAGGGAGAGGGGGAGCAAGGGGAGGAGCCATTTAGAAAGCAAGGTGCCATCCCAAAGCAGAGTTCCAACTGGAAAGTCTGAGCCCTGCCCAGATTGCTGCAGGTAGTAGAGGTTGGAGACAGTGCAGAACATCCAAGGCAGCAGCTCCTAACAAACCCAGCGGGTACAACTTCCCACCTCTTGGTCCTTGAGGCTTTCAGCACCCCACTTATTGGGGAAACTCACCTTGAGTTCACAAAAACTGGTTCCCTTGAATGTGTGTCACTAAGGACAGAAGTGAGCAAAAATGCACTGGGGAAAAGAAAAATAAATCTCATTTCTGCAGTCTCATAAGATCCTCTATGGCTGGGTTCTTCCACGTCCCCTGGTGGTGCTGCTGCAGGAAGGAAGAGCCAACAAGCAGGGATCAGCTCTCCAAGCTCTGCAGCTCCTCCCAGTCTGCCTCACTCTCACACCTGAGCCTTGTTTTGAAAAACTCCTTGATGAGTCTCTGCGCTTCCTCCTTCACTGCAAGAGAGGAAACACCATCTTTTGAGTTGGTATTTAAGACATCTGCCCCTCTAAAGCCATGAACCAATCTGGCATTGCAATAACCCCAGACAAACCTGTCTTGCGGGCAGGGCTCTGCTCCTGGGTCAGTAAGTGAGACAGGTGCCTGGCAAAGCCCTTGAAGAGATCCTGCAGCATTGGGGAAGAGCAGAAAGCAAACACCCGTTACCTCACCAGTCTGTTTCCATGTTTGTCTCACCCTTAGCACAGACTGGCTGTAGCACAAACCACTCCTGGACTGAACACACACAGCTGGCCCTGCAGTGTTGGAGAAGCCCAGGCACCTGCCTTGCAGGGCACAGCAAGGAAACCATTAGCACAAACCACTCCTGGACTGAACACACACAGCTGGCCCTGCAGTGCTGGAGAAGCCCAGGCACACACATCCTGCCTTGCAGGGCACATCAAGGAAACTACACCAGCACCAAACCTGAGCTGTTCCTGCTCCACAGGTGGGAGTTAAAAACGTGCCAGGGTTTAGTGTGAAAATATGAACAATCACAAGGAAGTGTGGAACCAACACACACCTTCCCTTTTGTGGGAGAGGTGAGTTGCTGCACCTGGAGTCACTGGAACAGCGCATATCAAAACATAACTTGGAAACAAAAGGTGGGATCCAGATCATCTCTGCCTTCTCAGAGCACCCGGGCCCTAGAGAGATGAATTTTCCTTCTGCTAAAGAGGGCCTTGAGCTATACTCTACCTTGGAAGCAAATTTGCCCCCCTTGTAGAACGGGGTCAAATACTTGACAACGATGTCTGCAGTCTCTTTGAGGGACATGCCTTTGGTCACTGGCTGTATGGTCCTGCTGCTTCCTTCTTTATCACACTGTTCTAAGTTTGAGTCAAAAGTCACCTTCTTCTTTGTTGGACCAACACTTTTGCCCTCTGGCTGGGTCAGAATTGAAGATTTTGCCGCTGTCCGGAGCCGCTTTTTTACAGGACTTTCCATATCCTGGAGAGGGGACAGAAGAAAACCAAACCTACCAATTCCTGTGACAGCACTGTCCTTCCAAGAAGCCACCACCTTCCAAGAACGCAAATCTTTGCAGCATCCTGCAGCCTCTGCCTCCAGTGAATACCCAGCAGGAATCTCTGTAACTCCTGTTAACCTGCTGTGCAGACACTACTTCCCACACTAAGGGACTTGGAAAAAAACCCTTTAAAGAATACCACATTTAGAACTACCCTGTGCTCATACTGGGGCAGCTAATTGCTACACCCTGTCCTACAGAGGAAAACTGACTGGAAAAGATTTCTCAGGGTGTCTGCTGAGAACAGACTACACCCCTCAGCCACAGCAGGAGAGCCACACTCCTGCTTGGTTTGAAAGAGTAAGGAGATTGCAGTGTTGCAGAGACAGCTGCCAGGCAGTCTCAGGGGCCAAATGAAAGCAGAAAATTAATGGCAAGGCAGGCTGTGAGCAGGGGTCACTTCCCAGTGGTTCTGTGTGTCTCTGGCCTGTAGTTGTGCCCTTGCCTTGAGAAAGCAGCTCCCTAATTATAGTTAGTGACAGATCTTGGGGGGTGGGGACACTAATTCCAGGCAAGTCACCAGCAAGGGCACAGTCACATGAGTTGCTCAGAGGAGGGAACAAAGCCCAAGGTGCTGGCACAGCCCAGAGGGCAGCAGGGAAATACCAGGAATGCAACACAAGTGGGGCTCTCCTTTCTGCTGCAACTGCAGCTGGGCCTTCCCCAAATAAATGACACTCTCAGAGCAGGAGTGTCACTCCCAGAGAGAAATCTGGCACAAGATGAGCAGAAGAAAGAGAGGAAATCAGCATTCATTGAAATCTTACCTCATCTGATCCTCGCCGCTTCCCACTGTCACCTTCTCCCACAACAGGTAGCTCAGTTTCTGCAACATTTTCAGCAACACTAGTGGGTAGAGTGGAGAGAAGGCCAGTTGTAATCATTCCACAGTGAAAATATTTCTGCATTGACTGTCAGTGGCCATGAGACTGCATGTTAAAGCAAGAGTCTCCCTCACTCACCCAGAGACCTCATACAGGTTTCCAGGAGAAGGCTGGTGGGGCTCTGGACAACACAGGGAGCAGAGAAATAGAGATTTTACCTGGACTTCACATCCATTTCTTCCTCAAGGAATTCACATTCAGCAGCCTGCTGGGTCTTAGAATTCTCCCCTCTCTCAGTCAGTGTTAATTCTGTTTCTCTCAGTTCTTTATTCTCCTCCTGGAACTGCCCAGTCAGGTCTCCAGAGCCATTTTTATTTTCCTGAGGTGTTGGTTTCTCTTGACACACACTTTGAGAAGAAACCTGAGGTAGTGTGCTTGCAGAACAGCCTTCTCCCTTTGGTACACTGCAGCTTTGGGCTTTAGAGCCAGCTTTGGGGAGGGAGAAGAATTTGGAAATATCCTGTGATTCCTTTTTAGCTGCTTCTGCAAGCATTTGCTGCTTCTTGCTACGTTTGGACTTCTTAGCAGGGCTCTCCCCAAGGGCACTTTTTGTGTCTGGACTGGGTTGCTGCCCCTTCTTTTCTGGGTGTACTTCTACCCCTGCACTCTCACCCACTGCTTTGGTTGCAGTTTCTTCCCTCTGGAAAAGAGGGTTTCTGGTGTCCAGGTCCAGACTGTAGCTGCTGATGTCCTCCCCACTTGGACAGTCTTTTTTGACAGGCCTTGCATCACTCTCCTCCTGGA